GGTGGGTGGTGGGTCGATAAGCATCTCCCTGAAATGAGTTTTTGGAACTTGGGATGTCTGTAACATGGTGGTGCGCTGTCATCAATGGCTCCATTCAAGGTGCGCGGTCACTATTTTTCCGTGTGTGATGTGTGATCATATACTACTGAGAATTGCATAATTGTATCTTCTTGGCTGATTTCTGGAACTGTTGCCGTATCCTGAATGTTTATCCCGTTTTGTACTTCAGATGGGGCCCACCCAGATAATGCTGCTTACGGACCTATTGTTGTGTCGTTACGCCATTGGATTGATGTTATCAGACTGACTCAGAGCAGCACTTTCTCACTGTGTGGTGTGGAGGCTGCAGCGCCTCAGACTGGAAGGAGGTGAGAAGAGTGGTGAGACCAGCAGAGAGGATCATGGGGGCTCCTCTTCCCTCCATTAAAGACATTTCATCCCAGCGCTGCGTATCCGGAGCCCGTAACATCATAAATGACCCCTCACACCCCCACCATGGACTGTTCTCCCTGCTGCCCTCTGGGAAGAAGCTTTAAAGCATCTGATGCAGGTCCAGCAGATTCTGTAACAGCTTCTTCACCACCCCCATCAGACTGCTGGTGAATCATTGTAAAATGGGTAATTTTATTGTATTTCATTATAACAAAAAGAAGAAAAAAAAAACTGAAATTTTAGAACTCTAAGCCAGACTGCCCTGCATGTTTTAGATGTTTCCCAGCTTCCACACACCTGTTATCAATTGATAGCAGATTTTCAGGCTTTGCTGAACTGCAATTATCTGAATCAGGTGTGCTGAAGCTCAGAAACATCCAAAACATGCAGAGCAGTGTGCCTTGAGGGCCAGGGATGAAAAACACTGCTCTGAATATCCTTGTCATATGTTTATATTACTGTTTTTATGCATTTTGTTTATGTTTTTCAAGGCTGCACTTTAAAAAAAAAATGAAATTGTCTAGAGCGGAGCTCTTCTACGGGGGTCGCAACAGTTTTGGTTAAATTGCTTTTTGTTTAAACTTGTGTAAACAGGATGACTACATAAATCAGTCTCAGTCAGCAGTGATTGAGGCTCCCTATAGAAACCTAAAGTGATCATGTTTGGGATTCTGCAGAGAAAGCATCCATCCCTCAGCTCCTTTATTGCAGTCACCTGCTCCACAGCAGGCAGATCAGCAGTCACCAGACTCACCCCACGCCTGGTCGCCTCCTCATTCAGATCCCTGCACCAGGCTGCCCTCCACTGCCTCTTCCAGCTGTTCAGTGACAGCGCCCATCGCAGCAGAGCCGCTGCCTCCTCCTCCTCCTTCTTTGCTGCTCCTGCTGCTCCTCTCTGCCTGCTTCCTATCAAGCCAGGATGGAAAAACTGCACGAAGTATATAGCCAGAGTGAGCAGGGATGCGATGAACAGGGTGACCATGCATAGCCACTGCGGGTCCTCCAAACCGATGGATGAACTGGAAGCCTCCACCTCAGGCATTCTTTGCTCTTTAGTCCCAACTTAATGATACACCTGCTTTGGGAAACTTCCTGACGACCTCATAGTAGGAATTTAATTAATAAAAAAAGGCGGAATCACGAAGAACAATCGCTCTTATCAGATAACAACAATGTTATGCAAATGTTCTGGCTGTTGTTGTTCATGCTGCGGAGCCTCCAGTCCGCCTGCAGAGCTCAGATAGAGTCCCAGCTTAAATAACCCAGCTGAATGCCACTTATTATCCCACTTTAAGTCCTGTTAGCTTCGCTGGCTAACCTCCGCAACCATTAGCTGTTCCCAAATTAGCTAAAAGAGAAGCTAAAAGTTTCCTCTATGGCTGCCGTTTCAAACACGTGAGCTTGTTCTCCTCTGGCAGACGGTTTGGTTTCCAGTAAAGCATCCTGCGGTGGAGGAGTGCCGCCCGTCCGTCCCGCTGGACTTCGGCTCGCGCCTCTCTCTGATCTGACTGTACAAAGTTATGGAGACCGATATGTGGCACGGACTGTAACTCCCACAATGCAACGCGATAAAGGACCGTTTTACACCGGCTGCTCGGAGCAAAAGCCAAACTCTCATTCTTTCTCTGCGCCGTTCGCGTTAAAAATCAGTAAATACTTTATTCTTAGTTAACTTTAGTACCAGAACTAAAACAAACAAACAAACAAACAAAACAAAACAAAAAAACGATAACGTAAGCTCAATTTAATGTTATTATTCCAAAATACGTGTTTTGAGCTTTTTGACTTTCCGTAGCTAAACGAAACGTCATCATAGACGCTGAAGTTAGTTTCCTGTTGGTCAAGCTTTCCTCCCAAGGCAACATGGTCAGCTGTTAAATACTTTTTTCAACATTTAAAGTGCTATTTAAACTAGATAAAATATGATTCTTTCTCTTATGTTTATCCGTGAGCTTAAAAAACAAATAATCCATGCATTACCTGCTGTCTGTCCAGTGTTTCTTCTATGCTGCTGATGCAAAACTGGATAAAATATTGAAGAACTGCAGACATTTAATCAGGTCTATCAAAAATAAATATAAAAAGCTTATTAGAAAATTAAAAATGTAGCAAACATTCCTGAAATATGCACTCTGAACAAACTTTAGGATATTTTAGGAAACAGAGGGCTTGTGGGATTTATTATGTTTTTTGTATCTAGTTCTCACTATCAGAGGTTACCCAAACATTGCATTGGAGTAAGAGTAGAACTACTTCAAACTATTTTAACTCGAGTAAAAGGAAAAAGTAGCTAACAAATTACTCTGTATATTTAAAAAGTATCTTGTATAAAAGATAATAATAACTGAAAACATTCAATTTTCACCTTTATTTATAGATGTTGGAGATCGGCCTGTTTTCCAGTGTAGTCCTGTTTCTCTGACTGTGACTAACTGGATGTGCTCTCTTCATCCTCTGACATGGGAGCTGCCTCAGAGCCCGTCTGCCTGGCTGTGTGTTTCCTGGATGGGCCCGCCTTTTACAGTTGCTTTTTGTATCTCTGCTTCTGTCTCCTTGAACC